TTTCTAAAGTTTTAGTTACATGCTCAAAAATGTTTTCTATTTCTCTAATTACTGGTTGCTATACAGTACATGAATGCCAAAATAAAAATAAACAAGCAGAGACGAGGCACTAGCAGTTTCAATATTATTTTCGGCCAGACCAACTCGTATGACCAGAAGGTATTTGGAAGTTTTCTTTGGTGTTCTGAAATTAGTTTAAAGTGGATTAGGCTTGCTGAAACTTGTTTTCGCTTTTTAAGAGTTCATTTTTTATCAATGCGAGCAATATTCAGCATTTCTCTTGTTTCACTAAGGGTTGCCATCACAAAAACACATCTTTGATTAAGTTTGGATTTTGGAGAAACTTTGATACCAACAAAAATTTGTAAGCAGGTTTCTTTTACGTCCATAATATCAGCAGGATAAGAAAATTCTTAACTCGAGAAATCACAGAGAATTTGATATATGTGTTGGTTTTGAGCTGCCTCGATTATTCTCTACTGTATGATTACCTAATTGTCTTATCTCTAAAATACAACATTTTCAAAATGCTCCTACAAGACTTGTACATTGAGCACCCTGACAGTGTCACATTACCCCTTTGTTAACAGAATCTCATTGGTTAAATGTTAAGCATATAATTGACTTTAAGATAATCCTTATAACCTGTAAGGCTATTCATGGAACAGCATCAGAATATATTAAGAATTTAGTCTCTCTTAAACAAAACTCCAAGTATGGACTACAATCTAACACCTGATGCTTTTGCACTCTGTGATTTGCTGAAGAGTGGGGTTGATGTTAGTACTATTTAGAGGAATGGGAAGGGCTATAGGGCATTTCTGAGCAATAGTGAAGACTTCCAAACAATAGGCATGATTTCAACTGGAATAAGTGGGAAGCAGAGGGGAGGATACCTGCAAAGAGTCAGTATTTTCCACATAAAGTAAGTAAAGCCTTTCTTGCTGGTTGTCTTTTGGAGAGTAGAGAATTTCCCGTGAACTTTTGCAAGATCCCTTCAAGCATTGCGTTTCTCCACCGGAAACTAGTCTTACACAAAGCTGGTTGGCCAATAGTATTGCATGTGACAGTGATGGAATGCTTGAACCTTGGCAACATTAGCCTGTAAGCAGAAAGTCACACACAGCAACTTAGTATAAATCATGAGAGGTTCCATGCAAAGAGATAGTACAAACACCTCAATATGTGTGACTGCTGGCAGCCAATTCTTGCCTGCCTTACAATATATTTTCCAGACATAAATCATTCCATAAATTGCACTCTTTCATAACACCAAGTAATGTGTAAGATTAGATGAATGACTGCCACTCAGAATGGTCCTCTGTTCCTGCTGGGGTGCCCCAAGGGACAAAGTTGGGCCATTGGCTCTTCATTATTTATGCAGTCATGTGTATGTTGGTTGGTGCTGCCAACATAGAATGTGTTGTATGTGATCTAATAGATAGTGTTTCTGTCTAAGGAAAACTTTGTGTGTGCGACAGGGCAGTTGGTGTGTTGACATTCTAATTCATCTCCCTTCTAAAATTCAAGGGAAAGTTACTGGTTGTAGGTTTAAGGAAATCACCAACTCACCTTTACCACTTTTAGCAAAGAGATTGATTCATTCTACTTGTAGGGTGTGTAAGACCTTAGTGTGCGGAATGTCAGTAGTTGATTAGGGTGTCTCTAGAGTGTTGTTGCTGTTTTGGGTCATCTCAATTAGTGTTTTTTCCACAAGTTAGTTAGCTTCTTTTGTTTTCCATATGGCATACTTCTGTTCATGATTGTTACATTTGTAATTACTGGCATCAGTTATATTTTCAGTTAGTTGTTTTTTGTGTGCATTAACTTTCAGTTTTCAAACTTAGTTTTCTCTGTTCAGGGGGCCTTTCTTTTTTTCCTGTAGTTGCGCTTCTTGGCTTTTGAGCAGTTTCTAAATTAATTTTTGTCTTTGGAAAGTGTTTTCTTGTTGAGTGCAAGTGCAGTTGTTGAGTAATCGTAACAATATTAGTATAATTGTTTCAAGTTGGCTGTATTTCTTTCCTATCACCTTTACTTAATTAATTGTTGTAATTTTGTATTTATTTTAGTTTCCACCTTCATCGTTCCCACACATCACTAAATTGCTTTTTATCAGTAAATCATGGTGTTAGAGAGTTACAGTTAGCACAGTCACAGAGTGTGAGAGTAAGGTGACTTCTGTGGGCCTTTACCGTGAGATGAAAAATATGTCATTTCTCCTGTATATTAGCTTACCATTTTTGTATCCCACCCTTTTTTCCTGCTTGAATAGTCAAGTACACAGTGGTGTGCAAATGTGGAAAATAATCTTACACTGTAGAAACATGGTGAAAAATTGCACACTGTTGTTAACCATGTGAGGACCAGGGGAGTTCTTGCTAGATGATATCTTTTATGTGGGCCTCTATAGGTTTTGTTTGATTGTAGTGTGGCTCAGTGACTATAACACCACAAAGAATACAAGATTATCAAAGGTACATGTTGTTCGTATGTTCTCTGTGTTAAGTTAACATTGTCTATATTCATAATAGATCTCTTTATAGAAATGTGGATATCACTGGCCTGAGCTCAAACTTGAATAGTCCAACCAATAACAGGCAGTCTGGACATGACAAGTCTGAACTCTTTGCAAACAGTGTTGTGGGTAATCCCTTCTCATCTTTGGTTCACTCTAAGGTACATGAAAGATGTGGCCAATGAGTCAGCCAGGCCAAGAAGCGAGGCTGACAAGGCAGCAGTATTATGGGGCTGATGCATGAGTGCAAGAGTTTCAGGTGTAGGGAGGCTTTTGTGGCTATTGAGTTGAAGCACACTGCCATGCAATAGCAAGCATCCATGTTATAAAGTTTATGTTGTTTCCATTGAAAGTTCTCCATTGACTTCAATGTTTGAATGGTTTAATGGTTATACCATTCATTCACGTTGCTCAACAGACTCTCAATAGGATCTCATGGTGAATAAAGCAAGGTAAACATTGGCAATGACTATGAAAGAATCAGACACAAACAAGTTATTGTGTGACAACACTGTTCACACTCATTATGTCAATCAGACAGATTTTTTAAAGAAAACTTGGCTTTCTCGACAAGATCTTTATTAAAGAAACAATTCTTTTTACTTCCAACAAAGTTTATAAGGATCTCATGGCAAATAAAGCAAGGTGAATATCACCAATGGCTATAAAAGCTTCAACAAGGGGGCTCCTTATATAAGTGATTTTTTTCATTTTAGAAATGTACCGTATAGT